ACTCACTAATACACACTCTTCTGGGTGGTGATGTCATAGACGGTCCATGCAGCCAAGCGGGAACTCCACCATTTCAGCAAAGCCTGACTCTAATAACACACACACACATCCTCCGGTTAGGATTCAGAAGCGAGTGTTGGATTGATTCTGCATACGTGCAGCTTCACACGAGCAGGAATTCCCAGTCAGCCGCAGCGTATGGAAAAAAACGACAAAAAGGAATCAAACACCACATGACAGCTATTAATATTAGCACTAGGAGTCAACCTTTCCAAAAACTGCAGCTGGAAAGTTTTGGTACGGGCTTTAGAGACGTTACTATGGTTTAACACATGAACAAGAGCCAAAAATCCGATTATTTAGAAGATATGACAGTATTTATTGGTTTTTTTTTCTAAACAATGCTTGAATTTTCAAAGTCAAATGAAGGTAACTGGAGTGTGTTTTCCAAGAAAATACTGTTTCCATCTTCTACATTAACAATGTCACATTAATTTGATGTGGTACAAAACAATTCAAACAGAACTTTAAACACATAAGATACGTAAAAAAAAATCTGACTTGACTTGATTTTGACTTTATTTGCATTAACTTGCTTAGGACACTATAATAATGCTGGGTTCCACACAATTCATTCATGCTGTCCCAACACAAATTAAGTTAACTCAACACTTTTAACAAATTTAAGTGGATTGAACATAAACCAACTAAATTGTCCCAAACAAATCTAAGCAAAATAAAAAGCAGCAATAATAATTGTAGACCTACACCTGTGAAACAATGCTGGTTCCACATAGTTCCTTCATGTCATCCCAACACAAATCGATTAAGTTAACTGAATAGTTTTTACTAATTTAAGTGGACTGAACACAAAACAATTACGTTATCCCTAAAAAAATCTCAAGTATTGTGTAATTTTCAGCTCATTTTAAATAAGTAGTTTACAATCTTTTTTTGAGTGTACTTTGCGCCTAAATTTTCCTGACAAGCTCATGCTCATGCCTGCAATTTGAATAGCACTTATAGGGTATTTAGAGCATCTCTTAATGCACATTCACGTACACACAAGAGCCTTGAAGACTAAACTTTAGGATGGCTTTAAAACAGCATGAAGTTGAAGTACAGAATGAGAGTTTTTGAAGCAGCCCAGAGATCTGATCAAGAGCCAGAAGTTGTTTTTAAGTCATTTTGCTTTTTAAAAGTATAATTCTATTCGGGTTTAGTTTACTAAGACTTTATTAACATCTGCAGTAAAACCTCCGTAGTTACATGCAGTGTTAATATAATTCTCATCTGAGTGTTCAAACTAACAAAGTGAGGCAGTGAGATAATTAAATGCTGATTGAGCATTAATGATGAACACCTGCTGTTAACAAGCAGGAACATTGAGGAGAAACAAACAACTAACTAACCTCAGCCCTTAATTTTAAGGTTTAATCAACTGAATTTGTCAGGTTAGTGGTTCGTGAAGTTGTTAACACTTTGTTGTTTAATGATCCTCTGCTGAGATTTTGAGAGATTGAATGTGTTTTTTTCAGCTGATTTCATCTGTGAATGAAGTTAGCTTTGTGTTTCTCCTCAGTCATTCTGCTTGTTAACAGCAGGTGTTCATCATTAATGCTTAATCAGCACTTAATTTTCTCAGTGTGTTATGCTACAGTCACACTGGAATTTGAGCTTGCTAAATTTAGTCGTACGGCACTGCGAAAAGGGGTGTGATTAAACAAGATGAGTAGACATTAAAAATAGTTAGCGATTGGTCCATATTTAAAATTTCTGTCCAGAGAGGTCATGTTCTGATTTTCGATTGGTCTCACGCAGTCATGTGATGCAATTTCGCAGGTCAGAGTTCACCAAGCTCGAACTTTCCAATTAAGCGAACTGCGAAACTTGTCGCACGAGCTTGCATTTTCAGTCTGACGTATTTGTGTGTGTATGAATGGAAGTCTGTGAGGAGAAAAGTTCAGTGTGACCGCAGCTTTAGTTTTAAACACTCAGATGAGAACTATATTAATACTATGTTAATTTAACATTGGAGGATCTGCTATATTTTATTTATTAAGCCAACTTAAACTTGGCTTTTAAATATGCATTTAAAGTTCTGCATTTTTGTGTTTTTCATATAATATCTGCTATTCAGCTATATTTGAATAAAAATTGTATTTAATATAAAATTACTAAAACCATGCATTTTTCTTATTAATTTACTTGAAATAAAAAAAAAACATTTATTGAAGTGAAATAAATAGGCTGTAGTTGCAAAAATAAATGTCTTGCAAATGCTAAACCACGTCAAATTAACCCTGTAATTGTTTGTTGAATTTTTACTTTGGTTAAATTGTCTTCCTGACACCACTCAAAGCAACTTTTGAGTATTTTTTTAATGATAACCCATAGACAAGAGGTTTACCGAGCTGTTATGATGCCCGTTAAAGTGTTAGAAAAATATTTATATTCCAAAAACTACAAATGCATTTAAATACATTTTTAATAAAACACAAAAAAATAATTAAAAATCCTTCAACTAGAATTTAAATAAAAGTAAATATATTCATTCATCCATTTTCTTTTAGGCTTACTCCCTTTAGTCTGGGGTCGCCACAGCAGAATGAACCACCAATTTATCCAGCATTTGTTTTTTACGCAGCTGCAACCCATCACTGGGAAACATCCATACACACTCATTCACACACATATACTGACAATTTAGCTTACCCCATTCATCTATACCACATGTCTTTGGACTTGCAGGGGAAACCGGAGCACCCGGAGGAAACCCATGTGAACACGGGGAGGACATGCAAACTCCACACAGAAATGCCAACTGAACCAGCCGAGGCTCGAACCAGCGACCCTCTTGCTGTGAGGCGATTGTGTTACCCACTGCGTCACCGTGATGCCCTACATCATAGAAATGGTAATTAAGGCATTCAAAAATAGTTGTGGACAAATGTTAGGTATGCAATTATGGGGACTAGGACCACCACCACATACACAATAATTTCTTATCCACAAGTTCAGACTAAAATCATTTACTTGCAAAAACAAACAAGGTCAATAAACCTTTACAAAATCCTTGTCCTCATGCTCCACGTCTAAGGTTATTGGTCATTTGGAAATAATAAATCAATGTTCTGGCTGTGTTTAAAATCAATAAGGACACCTACATTTGTAACAAGTTGATGCAATGTTAATAATTAACAGTTAATCTTGTTGTTAAAGTAGCTAAGAAATTGATAGCTATTATAGTGTGTATTAAAGACAATGTGTACATTACTCACACTTCATTTACTGTCCCTCCATTTGAGTTTCCTTCTTCTGCTGAACAAAAAAAAAAAAAGATATATTAAAGAATATTAAGCAGCAACTATTGACTTCCATACTAATTTTTGTTTCTAGTATAGATGTCAATAGCAAATGGTTTCCAACAATCTTCAGAATATTTTGTTTTGTGTTTAATAGAAGAAAGGAATTCATAAAAGATTGGAAACGCTTGAGTGTGAGTAAAACACAGAACTTTTCATTTCCACATTATAACAAGACAGTCTCTGGCAGAGCAAAGAGTTTAGTATTTCCGACTGCTGCCATATATTGTATGCTATGGACCCCTAAACATGATCGTGTGAGGGACCTCATTATTAAAATGCAAAATACATTTATATAGTTTCTTGTATAAGACAATGTATACAATGTCATTCAAATAAATATTTTAAAGGGCTTAAATATATATATTTAAATATATATAATATTATATATAATATATATATATATATGTAATATATATATATATAATTATTTATTTCTACTCAATGTATTTATTGATTTAATTTAATATGTAATTATTATTTACTTAATAATTAGTTATTTATTTCGATTTTAACTACTTTACAATTGTTATATTTGTCAGATTATTCAATCATATATATGTTTGGTTGTATATGTTCAGTTAACGTTATATCATAATAAAACTGTATAAATATTTTAGCAATTAATTTATTTATCCTCTTTTTCCACTCTGGTTAAAATTGCTAGAATGGTTTCGACAGAGACTGAAATCAACTACAAACGAACAAATAAAATGAAAATGACATAAATGTAAAAAGCAAAACTTATTATATTACACTGATTGGGGGTTTTGAAGTAATTCAGCTTATTATAACCCATTAATTTAATCAGCAGTATTTTATTATTGCCATACTATTATAACTATTTATATTTCGATTTTTAAGCTAAATTAAAATGGGCAGAAGTTAAAATAAGCTGAAAACAAGCTGAAATAAAATATGTTAATATTAAATTTCTAACGTTTATATTGTTAATTATGTATATATCACGCTGGTGACCAAACACTGTCATCTTTTTTGTTGACATTTTCGTTGTATCTTACCGGTTCATTCTTCCTGAGCTGACTCCAATGCTTCAAGACTTTTCAAGAAGTTATTGATGTTAACTGTTTGTTCGGTTAGAAACAACAATTTTGAGACGCAAAAAAAGGATATAATTACCTGAAACAGTCGCTTGTCGCCTTCTACCGGCGTAAAGACATATATCATACAGAAAAGTGAGCATGGCAAACGCGAACGTAGCGCTCAACCAATCAAGTTGACTCTAAACCACGCGTCTGTCCAATCAGAAGCAAGTATTATTAGAACTTTTATTTTGAAAATAACGCCAGGAACCTTTCATTTGTAGCGAGGTAGAGCGGAAATGGAGCCCTCCTGAAGTTGTTGTTGTGTTGTTTTCTGTGGAAGTTACACTTTATCGCACTGTGATTCATCATGGAGTCTTCCATGATAGGTAAATATTAACGATGACCCCCTTTGTGGGTTTTCTCTTTGCACGTCGTGTTTGTTTTTGAGTAATTTAAATGCCTGTTCTATTGTAAGTAAACGAGCACACGCCTGCATTTAAAGTTTGCATTCAGCTCCAATCTCGCGACTCGTGAGGTGCATAAATATATGTTTCTGTGGTTTCCCCACAGTCATTCTGTGTATCTGCATATGTTTCCAATAGGAAGGGCCAAACGCAGGCATCTGGGGCCCTCAGAATGTAACGATCTGGCTCAAAGCAACACTGGGAGCCAGTCTCTCACACAGCCATTCAGTGTCAGTCTCAACAACAGAGATCCAAACCAAAGACTTCAGCCTAGGACACCCACGAAAAGAAGAAGACGTGGTACTGTCTCATTCATATGTTTCTTTTGCATCTTTATGCATTTTGTATGGGGGGTTGAGTGTAGCTACTATGAATATTTTCTTTTTCAAACATTTTAATTCATTGTTTTGGCTATTAAGCTTCAGATGGTGCAGGACAACAGAAGGGCATCACTGATTTCTTCTCCGTCACTGGAGTCATCAGTTCCAGCCCGCAAAAAGGAACCAAAACTCCTATAAAAAATGAGGAGGAGGAGGAGGAGGAAGAAAAATGCATCCCACAAGAGGAAAATGTTGAAGAGGACAAAATAGAGGACTTCATGGAAGGAATCACAGAGGACATGTTTGATGACGACTTTGAGATGGAAATTGTATCGGTCAAAAAAGAGCAGGCGGAGGTTGCTGTGAACAAAGGAGATGAAGAGGACTCGGTGGAAGCTCTTCCTGATGCCCATTTTGGGCTGCTGGGAGTGCGGGGAGGGCAGGAGGTGCCACAGGGTCACGTCCAGGATCTGCCCGAAGAGATCCTAAGGGAAGTTTTCGCTCTTCTCCCTGCTCAGGATCTCTTTCAGCACATCAGTCTGGTGTGCCGTCACTGGAGAGATGTGGTCATGGACCCCAAGGTGCGTCTTTCAAACATTGCACGCTAAATTACTGTCATTTTAAACACTAATGCTTTGTCGCTTTCCTTCAAGCCACTAGGACCTACCCATTTATCAACAAGATGTTTTTGATTCTTTAAAATTTAATGTTATCACTTATTGCTTTTTAACAAGCACAGATATAAAGACACATTTTCTTTATTATTTCATATGTTTTTTACACTACATGATGATGAGGCTTTATTTACATATCTTTATTGGAAAAAAGCTTTTTTTTTAGGCAGGTATTATGATATATATTATTTATTAAGTTATAATTTGTATTTTACCTTAATTAAAAGTTGAATTTATTTATATGCAGTGCAATACAATATATCGTTTCAGCATCGACATCACAATGTGTGAATCTGCAATAGTCACATTGCAGGATCTCAATCGATTTCAAGTCAATTTAAGCAATTTAGAGACAAGCAATTAGAAAGTTTCCCAATTTAAAAGAGATTAGTTTTGTTAAATTCTTTATATTTAATGAAGACTGCATTATTTGAAATTTTAATTGTTGAATTTCTGTACGTTCGGACTCCAGTGGAAACCATAAAGTGCTGTTCATTTCATTTTTATGTTTGGTCGATTGTGATCTGTGTTGTCATTGATTTAATTTTGTATATATTTTGTAGTTTTGTACATTTGATGCAGATGCACTCGCACACAATTTCCTCCCAATCAATGTAAAATTTTGAATTCTTTCCAAATGGCCATCTTCTGAAATTATATTCATATCCCAATATTTTTTGCAGAAAACTAAATATTGAAACATCATTTTTTCCAATATCGTGCAGCCCTAATATATATATAAAAAATTATTCATACTCTAAATTTTTGTTCAAATACTGAGAAACATCTTTTTTCCACAATGGTGCCACTTGTACATTGTCTTATCAACTTTTAGGAGAATCTTGCATCATTTTCAGATAAAAAAAAAGCTCTTGTTGAATTAAAAGTAACTGTAAGTAAGAATTTGCCAGGTGTATAAATAATTTCGAGCTTGACCATATATAAAATCTTTATTTAATTTATTTATTTTGTTTATTTATTTTTTGCTTTGTTTGCGTATCTTAGTGGCAGTATTTTGTGACATCTCTTCATTTTTTCCCAGTTTCTTCCTTGGAAGAAGTTGTACTGCAGATACCGCAAACGGGAAACCGAGGGTGTTAAGGAGGTGAGGTCTATCCTGGATGCTAATCAAATTAGCAAAAAGGAGGACCTGTGTCTCCTCAACATGCTGAGGTAAGAAGAAACACAATCCTCCTCACACTACACCCCCTCACTTAACACTTTCTCCTGTGAAGTGCAAAAGAAAGAGGTTCACAGCCCCCACTTTCACACCTTGCATTACATTGTAGTACTACTGCTGAGGTTGGCACATCGGGGGTCTACTGTAGTTAAATGGTCAGCTTATAGTGCCTACAAATTTACGCTAGCAAGATAATAACATTTACACTGATGAATACTTAAGCAGTTAACAAGCAAAATCAAAATGCATGGAAAATAATTGAGGAATAAAAGTAATGGAGAAAGTTTTTAATGCTCTATCTGGGTGTGAGAACACATAAAACATTGGCATCTGTTTGATTTAAATATAGTTGGATTAAACTTTAAATTGAAACTTAACTTAAAATTATAAATAAATACTTTTCTGAAATGAAAATAAATAAAAATAAGGGAGAGTAGAGGAGTAAGAGTATGGTTAATTCTGTTATATGCATGTTGAATGTGTTTGTGTTATTTGATGTTTTTTTCATGTGACATGATAATGTTAAATGTAATTGTCTTGTGAAGCCAAAGGCAAATTCCACTTGTGGATATTAAAGACAGTCAAAGTCAGAAACACATAATGCATGCACTTACATGCAACAATAGCAAGATAGTAATAACATTTTAACTGATAAATCCTTGAACAGTTGAGAAACAAAATGAAAGTGCACAGAAAATCAAGGAATAAAAATAAGAGAACTGAATAATAAAATGATTATGGGTAGGGTAATTGTGTTATATGTCTTTTTAATGTGGTTTGTGTTATAATGTTCAATGTATTTGTGTTGTTTTTATTATTGTTGTTATTGTTATTATTATTATAAATATTATTATTATTTATGTGATGCGATTAAGTTGAATGAATTTATGTAAAATTTGAACGTAATCATGTTATGGTTGCCAAAAGTTCCGCTTGTGGATGTTGAAGAAAGTCAAAATCAGAAAACTATAAAGAGGCATGCAATTACATGCAAAACAAAGCAACACTAGCAAGATAGTGATAACATTTTAACAGATAAATACTTAAACAGTTAGCAAACAAAATGAAAATGCACAGAAAATGATAGAGGCACAAAAAAAAACAAGGGAGAGCTTGAATAACTGAATAGATAGGTTTAATTATGTTATATGCCTTTTCAGTGTGATTTGTGTGATGATGTTTAATGCATTTGTGTTATTATTAATATATTTTGTTTATGTGACGTGATTGTGTTGAATGTAATTATGTTAAATTTTAATGTAATGATGTTATGGAAGCCAAAAGTTCCACTTGTGGATATTAAAGAAAGTCAAAATCAGAAAAGTATAATGAGAATGCGATGATGTGAATTGTTGCCATTTAATTTCCCAGGTATATGTCAGGGTTCAAACACAGCAAACGGGTGAATGTGAAGGATGTGTTGACATGTATTAAAAGACACCGGCTGTACACTCACGCTGAAGCTTGCATGAAAGATAGACTCCCAGACATGGTGGATGAAGAGGTACAGTAAAGTGTACTCGGTTAACAGTATTTGAAACTACGTGAGCCTTTATGTTGCTTTCTATTGTGCAGTTTTGATGTTTGACTTGTATTGCAGGGTCCAAACCCTTGGTCCGCCATGGCACTGTTGTTGATTTTGGCCGACGGAGTGAAAGATATCCTGGACCTGGTAGCTCTTCTGCGGAGATCTGGCTGTCTGCTGACCACAGGGGGGATTTCTGAATACCTGTGGGCAGTGGCGACTTTACTTCTGGCCATGAGAGAGCGGAATATTAACATAAGCAACAGGTAAGAGGCCAAGTTTGAAGAGCTTCCTGCAAATGACCCTAACCTCTGCACAGCGTTTCAGAATTTACATTCGACTGCTGGGGAAGTAAACAGTGGTTACTAGGTGATTTTTAACTGAATGCAAGAAAGACAAAGACTTGCTATCAAACGTTTGCATCTAGATATAAATAACTCTTTACTTTTTGATCTTCTATTTTTAGGTGGCACTACAACATCTTTTATGTCTTGCACTTGATGGAAAATGCATCTCCAACAAGCCTGAAAGACAACAGGTGGGCAGCCATTTCAATATGGTGTTAGTTTTAATTTCAGAATGTTTGGGGGTAGATTTTATAAATGCTTTATTATCTTACATTATTTTGCATCAAATTGAATGATGAAGGCGTTTGTAATGTTACAAAATATTTTTGTTTCAAGAAGATTCTATTGTTTGAACTTCTGTTAATTAAAGTATGCTGGGAAATAATCGTTATGTTTCTAAATGATCACAGGGTGTCCACTGGGACTTAAAAAGCCTTAATGTCTTATTTTAAAACAAAATTTTAGGCCTTAAAAAGTCTTAAATTCACTAAAATATTGTGTTGTTGGTCTTAAATCATTTCAAACTGGTCTTAATTTTGCTATATCCAAGTAAATCTACTCGATCGGACTGACATTCATCCAATGACCAACAATACGTCTCAAACCCTTTTTTAAATATATATTTTTGCAAAGTGATACTATTGACAACAGCTGTTAGACATTTTCACTCAAAATTGCCAAATTAAATTCCCTAATCAGGGAAAGAATACAAGTATTCCTCATGATAATACCAGGCCATTAGAAAAGTCCTTAATCTTGTATAAGTCTAAAATTTCATTCTTATTGGTCTTAATAGAGTCCTAAAAAGTTCTGCAGAAACCCTGGAACAATAATGTTTGTTTAACACAAATCAACATTTTAGAATGATTTCTAAAGGATCATGTGACTCTGAAGACTGAAATAATGTTGCTGAAAATGTCATTTCAGTATCAAACAAATAAATAAAATCTTTAAATTATATTCAGTTTAAAAATATATATTTATTTCAAATTGAAATAATGTCACAATATTACTGTTCTATTTTTGGTCAAATGATTCATGATAATATGCATTTATTATTAAAAAATAGTTGTTATCAACCCGACCAATTTAAACCCTTAGCTACTATCCAAATTCTTAGTTAAATAAAAAATGTAAATGTTATATTATTATATTGTATATTTTTGATCAAATAAATAATTATAATATATTATTTTTATAATAAATACAGTTTTAAACCTTAAACTTTTTGACCCCTTAGCTGCCATCTTAATTTTTGGATAAAAAATGTAAATGTTATATCATTATACTGTATTATAACTGTTATATTTTTGGTCAAATTAATAATGATCTTATGTATTATTTTATTATTATAAAATTAATAGTTACCAATCCCAAACTTTTTAACCCCTTTGTTATGATCTTAATTTTTAACAAGCAATTTTAATAAACAATTAAAAATGTTATATTGTTTATTGTTCTAGTACTGTTATATTTTTGGTCCAATAAATAATGATAATATATATTTATTATTATTATGAAAAAAAAAAAAGATCAACCCCTACTAATTTAAACCCTAAGCTTATATCCAAATTTTTAGTTAAATAAAAAAATGTAAATGTTATATTTTTATATTGTCATATTACTGTTATATCGTTGGTCAAACAAATAATGATTTGTTAATTATTAAATTTGTTACATTTTTGCTAATTTTTAATTAAACAAACAATTAAAAATGTTATATTGTTATATTACTGTTATATGTTTGGTCCAATAAATAATGATAATGTGTATTTATTATAAACAAATTAAATAGTTATCAACCCCAAATGTTTTTGTAATGCAACTTTATTATTAATTGATATCTTAATTCATCACATGCATTATTATATACATATAATACATCCATATAATTACCTCAGTCATAGTCATCAAACCTAATTATCTTCATTTTCAGGCAGCTTATCACTCACGAACAGCAGCAGATTCTCAACCACGACATCCAGCATCATCACGTTGTCAAAATAATGGCTTTTGCAGGTAAGGAACAATAACTGAAATGATTTTGCCACTAAAAGTAATCTTGTAGTTTAGCACCAAATAGTATCCTGGTCTTACAATCCCTTTTTCTGTTGTTGCAGGCACTGGAAAGACAACCACGCTAGTGAAATATGCTCAGCAGAGGCCAGACCTGCGCTTCCTCTATCTGGCCTTTAACAAATCTGTAGCGGTGCAAGCCAATCGGTTATTTCCACACAACGTCGAATGCAGCACCGTCCATTCAATGGCCTACAGATCTGTGGGAGTGAGGTCTGTTTATTGGAGAAACATTTAGCAAACGATGAACTATTATAAGTAGGGCTGCACAATATATCGTTTCAACATCGATATCGCAATGTGATCATTTTTATTTTATTCTAATCATTTATTTAACAGGGACAGTACCCTTGACATTATTATACAAAGACAACCAATGCCGCGTACATAGCATAAAACTATTTTGCAGACCTTGTCCCTGGTTAGGCTTTAGGACATAATAAAAATAAATAAAAACCTGCAAGTAATAAACATGGTAAACCAACAGTAGTCACAACAGTCATATCGCAGGACTTGCAATGTTGTGTCTTTATCATAATTAATCATTTGCATGAGTTCTTGAGGCCTGTGACTGTATGAGGGTTTTAAATAGCATTCAGGCATACGAAATTGTACCATTAGTGACTCTATAATGATCAATTTTATTGAATTTTTTTATTATTTAGTTACTGTATCTAAATACTGTTAGGCTCAGATCAAACACTGTTTATTTCAATTGTTTCTTTATTGTATTTATCAATGCTTTTAATTAGTTCTGTAGATTTTGTGCGGATGCTCTACCCTACAGAATCCGTACATACATATTTGACTAGATATTTTTCAAGATACTAGTATTCAGCTTAAAGTGACATTTAAAAGCTTAACTAGGTTAATTAAGCAAGTTAGGGTGATTAGGCAATTCATTGTATGATAATGATTTGTTCTGTACACAATTGAAAAAAATATTGCTTAAGGGGGCTAATAATATTGACATAAAAAAAATTAAAAACTGTTTTCATATTAGCCGAAATAAAACAAAAAAGACTTTCTCCAGAAGAAAAAATATTATAGGAATTACTGCGAAAACTTCCTTGCTCTAATAATTTGGGAAATAATTCAAAAAAATAATTGAATAATTAATTCATAATAATGAATAATTTTGCCTTCAACTGTAGCAGAATAACAAAATATTGCAAATTTTCCAATATCGTGCAGCCCTAATAATAATAATAATGAATGAGCTAAGATTATTTGCATGTCTTTTTTTTTTTTTTTTTTTTTTTGCTTTGCAGGTATAAGAATATCAGGAAACTGTCAAGTAATTTGAAGCCATTGATGTGGCGTGGGTCTTACCGAAAGGACATGGAGGATTCGTCAATGCTAAAGTCGTGACGCAAACGCTTAACAACTACTGGGCGTCCACAGACCAGCGTGTCGACACGCAACACGTCCCGTTCGAGTACAAGAATACAAAAGGCTTAAGGGAACAGCCAGATGAAGAGGCCAAAAGGGTAACATGAAGATGCATTGTTGAATGGGCTGTTTTGTGTCTGCATTCAAGTATACTTATTTATATACATATAAATCATGTTTAATATGAGAAAACCATCTGCTTTAATGTAAAAATAATGAATAAAAAAATCCTCATCTCTGAACATGACGGATACATTAAAGTAACAATAAAACAACATGTAACAATAAAACAACATGCTTACATTCATGTAATAATAAAACAACATGCTTCTATTTTGACCCGCACTTAACATATATCAAAGAATGAGCGACAATATTAAATGTGTTATTACTATTTTTAAATTATTAAATTAAAATCATGAGAACAAAGAAGGGATATTTTCTTGTTGAAGGATAGTGAAAAAGTATAAAATTACAATTACTACACTGTGATTCGTAAATCATCCAGGTCATTTAATTTGTCATTAAAATATTTTTGTTAAGTTCCAACTATTGAACACTTAATGTACTTTTAATGCTGTGATGATAGTAAACTAATTACTATGCTAGTCATTATATTTGCTCTAAAAACATTGAAATGTTACTGTATATGTAATGCATTTTATATAATATACTATATTTAATGTACGAAAATAATGACATGTTTTTTTATCTTATTTTCTAACTTGGATGTTGGTTTAAGGGTTAATAAATTCCATACTTCTAATGGAAACAGAAAATATCTTGAAAATAAAATGTAATGAATTAGTGGGACATTTGTAAACCAAAGTGTTGTAACCCAAAAAATCTTTCTTTCCAGACCTTTGTGAGTCTCGCGCAGAACATATGGGACCAAATGGTCGAGATGCGGACCAGAAGAGACCGAGTGTACAACATGACCCATGATGGTAAGCTGCAAAAATTCTAATATAATTCTAAATAATAACAGAAATGTTAAACAAAATTCAAAATAATCAATGGAAAATAATAAACAAAATTGCATTTTATTATTTTTTTAAATATTGTTTGTCAATAGGATACCTCAAACTCTGGCAGCTGGAAAATCCAGTCCTGGACCGATATGATGCCATATTTATTGATGAAGCTCAAGACTGTACGCCAGGTAAAAATTAAAACTAACCTATGATTGTTTAGTAAATTCATCCAATTTTAGGCAATTATATGTTTTGTTTAGTGTTTGTGTTGTAAATGTAGAAAAAAAAACTATTTAAGAAATTAAAATAGTGTAATTTTTAGTGTAATTCAGTAATTTAGCATTTTCATTCTGCACTAAATTCCTAAATGTTGTGTTTTCAGATACTATAATGTGTTGTTATGTTATTATTTCATCAGTCATCATGGACATCATGCTCTCCCAGCGCTGTGGGAAAATCCTGGTTGGAGATCCTCATCAGCAGATCTACACTTTCAGAGGAGCGGTCAACGCTTTGTATTTTGTTCAACACACACACATCTACTATCTCACACAGGTAAGAATCAAACCACAAAGGGACTAGAGATATAGCATTCGCTGCCACTGTGAGATTTGATCATACTCATTTTTTTTTGACAGAGCTTCAGGTTTGGCTCTGAAATTGCGTATGTTGGTGCTTCAATATTAGACGGCTGTAAAGGAGTGAAACAGATATTGGTTGGCGGCCATCAGGATGGTGAGATTAAGCAATATTATTGGGTCAAAAAAAATCTTTCAGCAAATATAATAATAATAATAATTGTGCTTCTAATATTAATTATTGTTATTATTATTATTAGTAGTAGTAGTAGTAGTAGTAGTATTAGTATTATTATATTTGCTGTAACAATATTTATTTCCTTGCATTTAGGGTTTGAACTAGACAAAATAATCTGTGCCTTTTTTCAGGCAGTGTAAGAGGAGAGGACACACAAACTCTTCTTCATCTGAAACATGGACAGAAGCTGCCTGAAGGAAGTGTGGCGATTCTGAGCCGCTGTAACGTCACTGTTTTCAGCGAGGCTGTGCGGCTCACTGAAGTCAACCCCAACTGCAAGATCTGCATTGTGGGAGTGAGTGCATTCCCTAGGAATGATACAGCAATGGGAATGTTTTTATCTAAACGTTCATTTTAAATGTCATATTCGTTCAGGTTGACTATTAGTTTTACAAAGCCTTTGGAATCATCTGAAATGTACTTTGACTTTGTGTAAGGTACTAATATGTAATTAACTTAAAGCAAGCATTTGGGTATTTAGAGTAGTGTTGAACCTGAAATGTTTGAACATCTGTATAGTGCATTTCCTACACTCAAAAAATTACTTTTGCAGGGCAAGGCACGTTTATTTATATAGCACATTTCATACACAGTGGCAATTCAAAGTGCTTTACATAAACAGAAATAAAAAAGATAAGAAAATAAAAACAAATAATATAAGTGGTTAAAAACGGATTAAAACGTGTTAAAACAGGTTATAAATAAGTGCAAAAGAAAAGAAAGACACAATAGTGCGATCTGTTGGACGTAGCACAGTGCTCATTCAGTAAAGGCACAGCTAAACAGATGTGTTTTCAGTCTTGTTTTAAATGTGCCTTATGTTGGAGCATGTCTGATCATTTCTGGAAACTGATTCCAGCAGCGTGGAGCATAGTTGCTGAAAGCAGATTTACCCTGCTTTGACTGAATTCTTGGAATTTCTAGTTCCTAAAGATCTGAGTGATCTGTTAAGTTTGTATTCAGTAGGTATATCTGTAATGTATTGAGGTCCTAGGCCATTTAGTCATTTAGAGACAAGTAATAATACTTTAAAATCTATTCTGAATGTAACTGGGTGCCAGTGTAAAGACCCGAGGACAGGTATGATGTGCTCTGATTTTCTGGTTCTGCTCAGCATCCTGGCCGCAGCGTTCTGGGTCTTTTTGCTGCTTGTTCATTTAAAATAAGTTGAAACGACACTATTTTTACGGTTTTATTTTGAGGAAAACTTAATTGTTTTATGTTCAAAGCATTTAAATTTATTAAAATGATAAAGTTAAACTAATCAATTTGTTTTGGGACAACCTGAAGGTATTGTGTGTGCATGCTGCTAATTTCATTGTCATAATATGTCATAATATATTTCATTGTATAATATTTTTATAAAAGTTTATAGTTTCACGTATATTATAAATGTTACATTTAATTAAAAGTAATATTGTTAAAATTAAAGTATTTTTTGAGAAGATGGGGATTAAAAAGAAATGTTTAAAACATTGTAATTTTGGCTAGATTTAGACTGTTTTATAATATTTATTAATTTAATTATCAAATGTGACTTACCTGCTATTTTACATTTATTTTCCTCTTTCAACATTGCTATTTTTACCGCTGTGACTTATTTTGTGGAAAATACTATACGAAGTGTCTGATTTAAAAAATAAAAAATGCTAATATTTGATTTCAGGGTGTTGAAAACTTTGGACTGGACAAAATTATGGATATCTGGGTCCTGACACAATCTGAAGACACGCGCAAGAAAGGCGAGTCACTGAAGTTTAATGATATATTTTTAAAACATCATAATTGCATTGTTATGCGTTTTAGTGTTTTAAATCTTGTTTTGCTTTGTTTCTCAATCTCAGACAACCTCAAGATCAAGGATTTCTTCATCCGGAATTTCTGCAAAGAAAAGATGGGTGGATTCATGGGTCTGAAGGGATACGCCATAGCCTCAGAAGACCGCGAGCTGGAGGGCAAGCTGGCCATGGTGGAAAAATACAACAAACGTATTCCAGAGCTGGTTAGACGCATCTACGATTGTGCCCAGGGAAGTCCACAGGATGCAGGTGAGCAACTTAAAGACTAAAAAGCTGTTTTTGAGAAATACACACAGTATTAGCAAGAGGATAAAATCTCACCATATGCAAGCTAATTGTCTTTATTGTCTTTCTGATCGTGACAGATTTTATCCTTGGCACGGTGCATAAATCAAAAGGCCTGGAGTTTGATGTAGTTGTTGTGACCGATGACTTTGCAAAAGTACCATGTGCTCGACACAACTTGCGGAGAGCCGGTGGTTTCAGTATAGGTTTGTTATATTTCTACATGACTTGGTTTCACAAAACTGTTTTGTTAAGTATTTTATTCCAGATACCATTTCTAAGTGAATATGCACAATATAAAAATGCATATTTATGTATAAATGACTATATATTAAAAGTTAAACATAAATGGTAGTAATAAACATTTATTGATATTGGTTGTTTATTAGTACTCATAAAGTACATATTCTCCTGCATGGTCTTATTTTAAACCCTAGTCCTACATAATACCTAATAACAATTACTACCTTAACTATTTATAAGTAGCAAATTAAGAGTTTATCAAGCAGAAAGTCAGGGTTAATGGTTTGTTATTAGCAAAAAATATACATTTTAAAATAAAGTGTGACCAAAAATCATATACTTTACACTTTACACTTTAAAATTCATATGCATAAAAATGCAAATGTAAAAAAATAATCATAATTAAAAAAAGTTTAATAGATTGTTCCCAATCCAGTCATTCACAAACCTAAATCTTTACTCTCTGGCTGCAGATAACGTCCCAGATGACGAGTGGAACCTGATATACGTGGCCATCACTCGAGCCAAGAAAACCCTTTACATCAGTAAGACCATCACCAATCTCATCACATTCACTGGGGTGAGTTACTGCTCTTTGTCTTTGCATTTCATCATTATTTTTATCCATATGTGATGACACTGAAGCATATTTGTCTGTCACAGGAGTATTTCCTGAGATCAGAGCAGACCAGCTCTCTGCTGAGTAAAGATCCAGCGCTCACCTGCTCAACTAAAGACTGTGAGAACCAAATCAGCGCAGACTCCGTCCTCAGCATGTGCAAACTCCCCGTCAGATATGTCAGTGTCTTTTTACTCTTTAATTTGTTTATAATATGTCTAAAAACAGGTTTAAGCAGACCATGGAATTTCTGGAATTTCAAGGATTTTTATTTGTTGCTTTAAATTTGGTTTTCATTTATCAAAATGTAATTTTTAAATACCATATTTTGTACTGCATTGTTTCACCCCTGTTGCTATTTTTCAGCTCCATTTTATTCCTTTCATGGTCCTCAATTAGTAGTCACTCAAGTCAAATGCAGTCACCAGACTGTACCTGATTATGGCTAATATGTCATTTTTTTCAAATAACCAAGACATTTCAACCAAATATGTTTAGAAAATACAGTGAACTACATTAGAGGCCACCAATGACAGAATATAGAAAGATTAAGCAATTTTTTCCCCCATTGACAAACCACTGTTATACATTGACTTGCCTAATTAACCAAGTTAAGCCTTTAAATGTCACTTTAAGGTGAATACTAGCATCTTATAGTCTTTATTAGTTATTACAACTATTATGTTTAGAAATCTATTTTTAAAAACTTATCTCCGATAAACAAAACAGGGGGCTAATAATTCTGCCTTCAACTCTATATAAGGAAGTTGTATGTTGTTTTCTAATTTGCATCTTTCACTGTATGTGTTTCAGATGGACAGTGTGGACGCGGGTGGTGTTCAGTGTTTGACTTGCGTAGAGCAGCGTGTGGGACCTACAGCCTTTCTGCTCTCTCCTCCTGAACGGGTTCGATCCATGCCGTACACGAATGAAAGGATAGACCTGCCTATCAACGTCGCCATGCTCTTGGCCTTGCTGTAAACACCATCATGTGCCCTTTTTTTTGCCTTTGTGTGATTTGCACAATCACATCTGCTCTAAATAGTTTTACAGCTGAAGTTAATTTTAATTGAGGTGTGTGTTGCCTAACAATTCCTAAAAAGGTGTGTTTTTCTCGATTCTCCCAGATTTTGATGTCTTTGGAGGGCTGTCAGCATTGTCGTTTTAAATGGAGAGAGAGAGAGAGAGAAAGAAAGCTTTACAGGGTTTTTTCTGCAACTTCAGGAAGTGTTCTTGTTTTGGTACCTACAGTGTTGTGAAAAAAACAGTAATTGACTTTATTAGCAACACTAACGCATAGTTTGTTCATTTTTTTTCTTTTTTGAGTTGTAACATCAGTATGTTGGAAGAAAGAGCATTCCTGCATATAGTTTTACAGGTTGTGTGACTAGACAAACTTAAGTTTTGCACTTTTGTTATGTTATTGTATATTGTGTAATCATATATATATTTTTCCTGTGTATATATTTTTTAAAAACTGCCGGAGCGTGATCATAATTTATGTAAAGCTTCATTTTTTAGTATTTGGAAAAAAAAGAGCTGAGAATTTCATAAGGAGGATTTTTTTTGGTTATCAAAAGACATTTTCTTACTCAAAGTGACTTGCATGTCGTTGTTTGGGAATGTATAATCCTATGTATATGTGTGCTGTATTACAGACTAAAAACTATTTCTGGTGCCCAACAAGCAATATCTAAAAATGCTGTGTGTTTTTCTTTGGTTCTTACTTGTGAACTATTTTTTTGTTAAAGCAACTGCTCAAAACTCATTCTTTTATTTGGATGGATGGACAAATGGAGGGATAGATAGACTCTAATTTAATGTCCTAAGAATGTTTTAAATAAGATTGTGATTAAACATTTCATACACCTGATTATGTACAATATTACATACATACAAGATACATTTACTCGCCTGCCAATGAGGAGTAAAATGTTTTTTTCTTGTTGAATTAAGTTGAATTTTTGAGCACATTGACAGATATTTGTTCTTGCTTTAATTATAAACGTGCTTAACATTGGTTAAAAAAAAAGTTGGTTCATTTTTGCTTTACAAGTAAATGTAACTTGATAAAAAAATTTAAAAAGGTGTTTCTATTAAAACAATCTAATTTCCTTCTTAATTTCACCTTTATAAATTATCCTGGAACCATATTATAGCCTTGCAGCATTGTAATCACCATTAAATAGCATTATTGTTATTACTACATATAACGAACATAGATAGATAGATAGATAGATAGATAGATAGATAGATAGACAGACAGACAGACAGACAGACAGACAGACAGACAGACAGACAGACAGACAGACAGACAGACAGACAGACAGATAGATAGATAGATAGATAGATAGATAGATAGATAGATATCAATTTAAGGTCTTCAGAAAGTTTTTAATCAGAGCATAGCTGACATTAAATGTTGCTTGCTCAAAAAAAGCTATGATAAAATATAATATGTAAATGTTAAATCAAGATACATTAACTCTCATGCCAATGAGGAGTAATTTTTTTCTAATTAAATAAAGTAGTTTTTTGAGCCCATTGAAGAATATTTGTTCTTGTTTTAATCATAAACGTGCTTAACATTGATCAATTATTCTGAAAAATAACATTAAAGGAATTTTTGCCTTACAAGTAAATGTATCTAGATTAAAGAAATTTGTTCCTATAATTTTTTTTTAATTTCACCCTTATCAACCCTGCAGAAACACCATTAAATGCAGCACTGTAACCACCAACTTATTTTTTTTTTTTTGTTAACTGAATAAATGCAATAATTATTAGGCTAATTAGCATTATTATTTATATTATCATTGATATAAAGCATTGTTTCAGAATAGTGTAATTTATATTTTTATATTTCCAGTTATATTTTAGAATAGCGTAAATTATTCGTTATTAAAAAAATAACAATAAACGCACCATTAGTATTAAATTATATAATAAATAGTAAAATAATACAATTATGCTGGCATAAATATTATTATCATCCAGTCCACGCCCACTTTTGCTAAATGACAAATGTACAGACGTCCCCTTGTAAAACACAGATTTGAGACAGAGGGATGTGAGGGTTTCGGAGATGTTGTGGGGAAACCAGCTTAAAAATGTGTAGGTAGTCTTCATGAGGATAAATAAAGGAAAATTAAGACACAGCATCTGCAAGTTTCACTGGACGTACATTACATTGACCACGCCCACTCCATAGGGACGCTATCGCATAGATTATATGAACGTTACACTCGACGTCTTCTGGGATTAAACTGGAAATTCTGGTAAGTGGTCAGCATAAACAACTAAAAGAACAAGAAAAGTATTGTTTTTTGGTCTTATTTTGGCATCCATGTTATATTGTAACGTACTAACCACTTATTTTGATAACTATTAGTCATATTTGGTTATCTTTGTGACATTGTTTTGGTTTTCTGACAGGGAAAAACTGCTAACGTAACGTTATCGCTCGTTTCTAAAAGATTAGTGTCATTTAAGATAATGTTATCTAAAGTAAGAAAGACATTACAGGTGATAATTGTCATTAAAAGGCATAATGTAACAGCACATGAACATACATTAACCAAATTATGCATACCTAATAATGTAGTGTTGACTTTGGTAAATATTCATGAGCTTTCAGAGAGAATTCAGATTTATTCTACTTTCAAAGAGTCACTTCTTTTAGTAGTTCACATCTTCCTAAGCAAAAACAATGTAAGGTTTTGCTTGCAGATTATTGTACAATTTGTTTTTTCTCTTATGGGAGACTGAACAATTGTGATTCAGAATGAGGAGAGAACGAAATGAAATAGATAACTGAGAGTCAAGGCTTAGTGAAGAATGCCATGAGGAAGGAAAGGCCAGGAGACTCCTGATAAACAGTCCCACATGTGTGCAAGAGTCTCAAGAGACACAAAATACATTTTGGACACATGATCATAAACCTGTGATGCCATTAACGTTTAAAAAAGATAAAAAATGATGTACGTCTTCATCAAGTCCATAAGTCATAATTAAGAGGGTCAATACCATTTGAATTCTGCATCAAATCAAACAGACACAATTTGAACTCACTTTTGTCAACATAAAAATATTGAGAAAATGATTTTTATTACTGTGCATAAACAACTTGAGCCATATAACTAATTTCTTATAATAACATAACAGCAATATTAATATTAGGGATGTCAGTAGTTTTAAAATATCTGCAAAATATAATACTCACGTAATTAATACACTGTAAAAAGATTAGTTGCTTTGTGTTAAGAAAGTAAACTCAGAGTAACTTGTAACTGATAAGTCGACTTAACTTATTTTTTTTATAATTATGCACATAATTAATTTACTTATTCATTTCAAAACAACAGATTTACTCAACTTTTTAAGTAGTCAACTAATCGCTATTTGCAATGTGAAAATACTTGAAAACATTTAATAACTCTAACTGATATTTCAAATTATGCATGTTAAAGACACAATTCCCACTATTGTTATAATGTAATCTATCATAACTAATAGATTAAAGTATTTAATTTCATTTACAATTTATGCACAATAAAGAAACAATTTCCACTATTGTTATAATGTAATCTATCAAAACTAATATATTTAAAGTATGTAATACAAAAATTATGCATGTTTTTTCCCCCTTTATTTAGCCAGGAGATCACATTGACACAGTACTGACTCTTCTTCCAGTGAGACCTGGTCAAGATGGCAGGCAGCACATAAAATGTTAAATACACAATTTCCACTAGTTGTTGTAATCTATCATAATTAATATAGTTAAATATTTTATTTTATTTAAAATGTATGCACATTAAAGACACAATTTCCACTAGTTGTTGCAATGAAATCTATCAAAACTAAACAAGTATATTAAAGTATTTAATTTGAAATTTTTTGCACATTTAAGACCCAATTTCCACAAGTTGTTGCAATGAAATCTATCATGACTAAACTAATATATTAAAGTATTTAATTTAATTAACAATATATTCACATTTAAGACAAAATTTTCACTCGTTGTTCTAATGTAATCTATTATATTAAGATATTTAATTCAATTTACAATTTATGCATGTTTCAGACACAATTTCCACTAGATGGTGTAATCTATCAAAACTAAAATATTTAATTTCATTTACAATTTAAGACACAATTGCCACTAGTCATTGTTATGCAATCTATCATAGCTAATATATTAATGTATATTTAAATATGACAGTGCAAAATATTACCAATATCCTCATTTTAATCTCCCTTTACAGATGCTGAAGATGAAAAATGCCTTTGCTGAGGAAAAGTAAGTAACAAATTCAAGTTTTGCAGATTGTGTTTCCACATCTACACACAAAGTTGTTTATTGCATCGCTGTTTGACAATCCATGGAAACGCATCCAAGTTCATTATATCAGTCACACTCCAAATCCAAAACTTGATACAATTAAAAGTCCGACATACATGATATTAGATCATTCTCTGAGTCTATCTGAGAGCACACTGGGATTATTTAGGGTCTCTTTGCTTCGCTGTCCTGCAAAACTGGAATGTGTGTTTTGTGAAGTGGAGGAGGGTCAGTCCCAACGGCCGTACCAAAGAAAATGAGGTAACCAGGCAGATTTGGAGCCATAAAAGTGATGTATTGTAGCGTCTTTGGAAATCCTACTCTTCACTTCACATTTACTTACTGCTATTTGTGTTTCTTGGTTTTACAAAGGCCTGGTGAGAGTTTGTAAAGGCATGTTTTACATTAGTCATGGAGTAAAATGCAACAAATTACACAGATGTTTACTTTATCTTCTCAGCTGACCTCAGCCTGGACACTGTTTGAGCACAAACCGCCCACAAAGACATTTAGCTCAGATTTCACACTTTTTGTTTGTTTTAATTTTTTGTCTTTTATTGTCACGAATAGTAAAAATAGTTACGTTTATTATACAGAAAAAAATAAATAGCTAAAAAAATTCTATAATAAAAAATAAATATTTAAAAAAATAATTAAAA